CCCATCAAAAACCCTTGAGCAGGCAGAACACGGTGTCGAGACGGAGAACAAAGGAACACGCAACCGGTAGCAAAGAACACAACGGTAAGCCTTACCATTCATAGTCTAACTCAAACCCGAGATTAGGACTGCTCGCAAACATAGTGCCGAACATCACCCCCTGAATAAACATCTAATCCTCCATAAGCAAAAGGAAAGGTGGCAAGTCGCCATTGCCAATCACCAATACCAGGCCCCAAAGCAGTAGTAATGCGCTCTAAAGAAACCCGAAGGGTCACATCAAAAGATAGCTGGGCCGCTTCAAAAAGACGAGGGGGACAAGTGTGCATAACAAAGTAGAGTTTTGAAACCCCAATACACGCACGAAGTAGTAACAACTCACATTGGGGATCATCAAGCTTAGCGACAACATCCATTAGCACTATGATGTTCGACACTCTCTGCGAAACAAGCTCACCACAGAAAAAGGAATCCGCACTGATAGGACCACCTAGCAACTTAACACCATGCATAGGACGAGCAATATTAGGTGGAAAGACACCTATGAGACGACTATGTGGGTCCTCTATGGGCCAGAAAATTTCTGTTTTCTCTACGTTTACATGGAGGTCGAGACGAGGTCCCTCCACCAAAATCAACTCCATAACCTTTCCTACCACCAAGGTGTCACCAATAATAGTGCCGTCATCCAAATACCAAGCCTGCAAACATAAGTCAAAAGAATCCTTGATTCAACACACTAACGGATGGAGAACAAAGAAAAAATCAAAGGGCTAAGAGGATCACCCTATTGTACTCCTTGACATGAACATAAGGTATGATCCCCATAAAACAACCTGGCTGGATTAGAGTAATAGAATTCAACCCAACATGAGAGAGCTGGCAACAGAGACGAACCTTACGCAACAAAGCCGTACGATCAACCAAATTGAAGGCATTCTGGAAATCCACCAGCAACATAGAGAGGCCAACATCACCACCACGATCCCCAACCAAACGATTAACAACAAGCCTCATCGCCCGCCGGCACCCCACCCCAAACTGAAGAGCTCCTAAATAGCTTCCCAGACGTGGATCAATTAAAGCAGCCCCAACCTTTGAAACCAAACGCCTCCAAACGGTACTCACAGCAACAGGCCGAATACCACCACCAGGCTTAATTAACAAGTGGCGTGAGAGGAGCACTAGCAATATATTCTCCCAAGTCCTAACTCAGCAGGACATTTCCCAACGAGAAAGAGATTAACCACCTGCGTAATAGAGTCCACCAACTCATCTGAAACATCAACTGCAACACCACTCAAAGCAATCCATAAGGTGTTGAGCACGTAAGCCTACCACATGAAGTACCAAGCGGAAAACCCCTAATCTGGTCCAAAACAACAGCAGGAGTAGCAATAAGGTGATGATTAACGGGGATATCCGCTAAGGTAGAAGCTGGAAAGGCAGGGTGCTTAGCTTGTAAAACTGCAAGAGTAGCATCACTGTAAGGGGCAAGACCAGAAGACGAAAGAACCCTGACTGCAGCAGTGTAATGTCCGTCACAAATCTTTCTCTTACATTGCTTAATATTACGCTCAGACAAATCATGGTCCTCATCAGCATCCTATAAAGGTGGAGACAAATCAGCCAACGTGTCCCGCACAAGTTGAAAAGAACCACCAGGCTCACACCAAGAACGAACAGCAGTGGTGATACTCTCTTCTTGTCGTTGTCGCCTGATAGCCGAAGTACACTCACGGTTACTCCACAAAGAAAAGGTTTTAAGGACATAAAGAGGCAATGCAAGCAATTGAACCTAGCAAGAGATGTCATTCGGCTTGCAAATCACCTTATCAAGCGCTCCTTTGAGAACCCGAGAAAAATCTAAGCGATACTTAGGAGAGATAGATTTCACCGAACAAAACCGCTTAGATAGTAAACTATCAAGGAGAGCAACATTAAAAGCAAAATGAGGTCAAAGTTGATCAAATCCATCCGGTCCCTTGTACATAAAATTGCAAATGATTCTAAGATATCTAAACTTCCAATTTTCCTAATGTAACGGGTTTATTTTTAATCATCTCATTTTTATTGATGTTTAAAAAAAATCACTTCAAATTTTATTTAAGGGAAATTTTGCCAGCTAGGACAGGCTTTCACGGGGCCCAATCTTATGGGGTTTAAAACATTATTTCTCCACTTAAGTTGGTCTACAAAACAATGTGAATCAGCTAGCTGTTACACTTTTAATCCTTTTTTCTTATGATTCTCACATCCACAATCAATTATATACGAAGTACATATTTTTGTTGTTTTAAAAAAAAAAGTACATATTTTTGTTTGTTACCCTTTTTTTTTTTTTAAATTTTTTATTTATTTATTTTTTAAATATAAATATTCCAAATAAATAAAATATTACAATATTTTCTCAAAATGAATACACAAATTCTCGATTAATGCGGACTTTTATTGAGTTATTGTAAAACGGGTTAAAGTTACCCTAAAATATTAAGAGTTACCTTTATATGCTGTAAAAGTTACTATTTTTCTAACATTAATTTTACCCTTAAAAACACTTGTAATGTATTAGATTAATCATAATAGCCTTCATAACATGTATTTATTAGAAATTACACACTAAAATACAATAAAACCCATTACAAATTAAAAGTTACGGAGTACCATTAAAGGAATTAAAGTTAATATAAAAATTATTAAAATTACCCTTAAAATGACCGTCTTATAATAAAATTAACGTGAGTCCGTCTTATACAAGACTTAGTGCAACTAAGAAATAACCCGGCCATGGCCATACTATTTACTGTCCATGAACTGATAAATATCTTAATTTGTCTTGGAAAATATGATGATAAAATTTAAGAGCAATCGTACCAAGAAAAGGATCGTGCTTTTGGGAGCCCGCAGATTTGATGTCTTTAATTTTATTCCAAACACCAACCAAAACTTTGTACCTATAATCTTGTATAATGATTAATCATACTTGTTTGAATTGTTTAATGTTTCTTTAAGAGGGTGGTAAATTGCACTACTCTCTTAACTTGGCTAAATTTAATCATTTAATTCAGTAAATCAACAATTGAAGCTTAATACTTTATCCAGTACTTCTATCACTTTAAGATGGTTGATCTATAAATATCTTGTGATACGGAGTATTAGTGAAAGATATTAATAAGCTGCATGCTCTATTAATATATAAATATCTTATGATGCCGAGTACAAGTGCAAGATATTAAGCTGCTGATATAACTTTAATTTTACTACACAACTAGAAGATAAAATCATGTACATATATTAGTTTAAGATACGATCGTAAAACTTTATGAGAAGGGAGTTAATGGACAAGAAGAAAAGAGAAGCACGTTTTTGAGGGAAGATTGAGCTTTAAAAGTTCTTAACTACTGTATTAAATTTATTTAAAATGCCTCTAAAAGTAATTTGTAAAATGAATTTAAACAGATTTCAGCTAGTATATTGGATCGATTTTTCAGTTCGATTGGCTCATCTTTTGCTAATTTGGTTTTGGTCATCTTGTTTTAGACTTTTAGCTATGACTTGATTAATTGGGTAGTTTAAGTCAAGTCAATACCGTTTTGGGTTAATTTAAGTAATTTTACTTTGGATACAATTCAAATGTAGTCAACTAATTTCAATTTAGACCAATATTTGGTTCAATTCGGTTAAGTCAAGTAAGGTCAATTTAGACCGGCCCGGGCCAGCTTTGTCACATATGAGCTATAATAATAGTGGGTCTTAAGATTCATTGCTTGTTGACCTAGGTCAGCCGACTATTATTGTACTATTCCAATCTCTAAAATCTATACTATATTTTATGAGTCACTAATAATACTACTCATATAACGCTTGATGAATCTGAGTGTGTTTTTTGTTATTATAAATTAGATGGCCTTCATTTTATCATTTAACTAGTTTTTGGGTCCGGGCGATGCCTCAGATTATTACATGAAATTGATCGTTAATATACGTCATAATTTATGATTCAATTTTCTTGTAATTAAATTTGTTGTTCATATTGTCATTTGCTACACATTAATATTTTGTATTCAAAAGATTGTATAAAAAAATCACATATCTTGGTGGTAAGACACTTAGTTGTAGAATTAAATGTTGCAAGTTCAAATCTCGTGGAAAACTTTTTTTTAATTATAAGTGCATGACATATAATGAAAACAAATGGAAGGGGAGCCACTTGGCATTATGAGTAGTTGAGTGGGTGACGTAACATAGTGAGGAGAGTTTACGTGACACGTGAACGTTGTTAAAAACGCCTTTTAATATATTAGTATAGATTTTATACTCCTATCAACACTACGTTGAAAAACTCTTTTATCAAAGAAATACTCCCATTAGTATCTTCTAAAAATAAAGACCCCCCACTTAGCACTTTTTATATATAAACTTGTTAATATATCCAAACACTTGAAAAGGACTAACAAGGTGGTTGCTTACAATATAGGACGTATAGTTTGTATTAACAATAGCAAGTATTCTTAATTAATGTAATTAAGTATCCTATAAAAGAGCAGGCAAGTTGATAGGGTATAAGTAATTGTGAGATCCAGCTACTATTTGCATGGCTTAATGCAACGTCTTTTTGAATTGAACTTGTGGTGTAGGATGCAAGAATTAAATACGAGGTGATCTTTTGCTTTTACTCTTAAACACCATGTATAACCTAACATCTTATACTAGTAGATTTATATCAACTAGCTTGAAACTTGCTAGGCTTGTCACTCACTTTCATTTTCTTAACCACTAGATTTATACAATAACGGCAATAAGCTTATCATCACTTTTTCTAGATCATTGGATCGGACACGTACAATCAATTTCTCGTCGTGTAATAAAACTTATCTGATTGGAATAACTTGATTCTGATAAATAACATATATTAGAACGAAATTAAAATAAAATGAACATAAATTATTCAAAATAGTTTTTTTTTTTTTTTTTTTTTTTTTTTTTTTTTTTTTTTTTTTTGGGTCGATTCTCTTGTCCACAAAATTTTGTGAATGGTCAGTGTTGTAGTTCTAAGTTAAATAAATCAAGAAAGCACATAGCTATAGGAAGTACGAAGTAAAAATCTAGAGCCTTAAACCTGTTACGTAAGTAGAATTTCGATCACATCATCAACAACAATCTATAGCATGCCGATCATCAACTCGAATAAATATAACTTCCTACATACAAACTTATATATAACCAACTATTATACAACAAAGTACTTAATTACATAAAAAAAAGTATACAAAGTACTTAATTAAATAATAAGGTAAAGAATGCAAATAAGATATATATACTATATAGGATCTACAAAATCTATACTCCACTTTTTATAACTTTAGCCCTCTATATATTCATCTTCCAACACAACCACAATTCCACATCCAACTCTATCCTCATCTCCCACAACAATAATACATACATACTCTCTCTTTTCATTTGCAAACCAAAAACATGTTTCCTTCAACTTCCTTTTCTTCTACTCCCCAAGAAATCATTACTAACCTTCACTATTCTAGAAGATTACTACTTCACTCCCCATTCCACCCTTCACCACCTACAACAGAAGCACCAACACCAACCTACCAAGTCCTAGACCCGAGTTCAAGCCATGGCAACCCTGGCTTTGATTCTAACATAGTCATGATCCTTGCGGTCTTGGTGTGCGCATTAATATGTTCATTCTGCATAAACACCATCATAAGGTTTGTAATCAAGTGCTCTTTTATGATTACAGGAGAGCCTAGTTATTACCTAAACACAATTAATCATGATCAAAAGAAGAAAAGTTGCAATGGTTTGGACAAAAGGGCATTAAAGACATTTCCAGTGGTGAAGTACTCAAGTGAGGTGCAAATTCAAGGGTTGGGTACAGAGTGTGTGATATGTTTATCAGAGTTTAAGGGTGGAGAAAAAGTTAGGATATTACCAAAATGCCATCATGGTTTCCATGTTAAGTGCATTGATAAATGGCTTAGTTCTAACTCCTCTTGCCCTACTTGTAGACAATCTTTAGTTGAAACTTGTAAAAAGATTATTGGTGGTGATGATCATCAAACTGCCTCATCATCATCATCATCATCATCAACCACAGCTTCTTCATCATTATCGTCGTCGACATCAACAACAACACCATCGTCTAGGGAGATGATTGTAGTGAGCATTGTGCCACTTGAAAGGGAAGATTTGGTGAGAAATTACAGGAGTGAAGTTGCTCAAAGCTAGACAAATTCTGTAGTTCGTTTATTTTATAGATTTTTGTTAATTAAAAGAGTAAAAAATTAGGGAGATTTTAACAATTTTATGATTAATTAATCTGTTTAGTTGTGCACATTATAGATATTATTATAACGATGAGTAGTTCTTAATTATTGTTCATCTTGCAAGTGTACAAACAAAAGAGCGATAATTTATTTGTCCATAACCTCCTTTAAATAATTGTCAATATTATTGGCTTATTCCTTTTTCAAATTATAACTTGACTTGCCGTATCAATATTTCTAGTCACACCATTTACCAATATAATTATAATCTTCTCCTATGGTGAACTGTAACATATGAAATTTAACTTGAATTGAATGACCTTACATATATTGACGCACTAACTTATCCAATTCCTGATTCCTACACCCGGGTGAACCATGAGCATGGTGCACTTGGCCCAAAACGACACCCCTTTCTTCATTAAACGCAGGTCGCATTTAAACCTCAAAATAAAAAAAAATAAAAAAAAACGATGAATATTGTGTAGAAATAGGAAGAACGCGAGATTTTTAGGTATATTCATTAAATTTCAGAAAGGAATCAACCAAATCCCACATTAATTGATACAATCTTTTCAAAAAAATTAAGATTCCAGAATAATTTTTTTTTTCAAAATTATTTGCTTCAAAATATTTCAAGATTTTATTTTTAAAATTCAAATTCAAAATTCAAATTCAAAAAATCATTTTCATATTTAAAATTTCAGTTACCAATATTTTATTTGATTTTCTTAAATATAAAAAGTCTCTACCAAAATCAATCATATTCTTTCAACAATTTTTTTTTTATGTAATTATAATAATATTCGTTATAATAATAATGGTCATGTGTAATTCTGGTGATGTTCTTTATATATATATTATAATGTTCTTTATCAGAAAATATGATTTACTTTATTTTTGTATGTAAAGTACAATTAATTATTAGCACTATTTTTCTTCCATATGTCCACTATTAATTATGATCTTTATTAGATCTTTTGATAAAATATTTTAAATGTCCATGTTCTCTAACTGTAATTGTAATGTACATTTATTGTCACATAATATCCATTGCTTATTCTGAAAATGTTCTTTAAATTTTTGTTTGCACCATCCTTGTTAAATTTAAATATTTTAATTTAAGTAGTGCTTATTACATAATATAATCATGTTCTTTATAAATGTTATAGATGTTCTTTGGATCTGAAAACCAATCATCAATATATGATGTCCAAAAAGAATATCTCCATCAACCATCTTGATCCTGAAAAAAAAAAATGTACACACTTATTTAATGTTATTAACATAAAAAAATATAAATTTAAATAATATTGAAGACGGATAGTTTAATAATTAAAAATGACGTAAAAACTAATTTTCAAATATATGTGCTATATCACTCAATACCCAAAAGAACATAAGAGTTAAAACACACGAACATGAACATAGAAGACCATATTATTCATGTAAAAAGAACATAGTTCATATTATTGAAACACAAAGAACATTTTACCTTAAGGAACATAATTTGTAATATAAAGAAATACAGTTTAGACTCAAAGAACATATTAATTGGGCTTAAAGAACATATTCCATTACAATTAACAAATTGAATGCGTGATAAAGGAACATTCATCATAATTAGAAGAACATCATCTTCAACCTTTGAAAATAATACCAAAAAAAAAAAAAAAAAAAAAAACTCCAATTTCCTTTGATTATGAAATAATCCACAAATTAACAAATGAAAAGATAATCGATTAACCAATTTACCTTCATTTTCGTTTACGATATCCTCGAATTCACCTTCATTGTTGATATCATCATCATCATCACCAACAAATCTAGCATCAGAATCATGGCGAAATTTGGATTAATAAACCATTATTAACTTCTTCTACGGAGAATTCTATCGATCGGTCGACAAATTTCTCTTGTATTTTTCTCTCTCTGTAATTTTCTCTCTCTAAAATTTTAGAATCTCTGTAATGTTCTCTCTCTAAAATGTTTAAAAAATGAAAAATGTCAATTAAGGATAATTATCAAAAACTGAAAGCTATTTAAACGGAAAAAACTCCTTGAAATTAAGCTAGAATTTTTTTTTCCAATAATTTGATTCCAGCAATTTAGTTACGCCACATCATCAGGTGCACCATGAGCATGGTGCACCCTGGTGTATTATACAAATTTCACTAACCTATCTAATTTTATTTCCCTTTTAAATAATTTTTTACAAAATATGTTGTTTTGGGTAGATCAATCAATAAATCTGCACACTTCAATGGTCAAACTAAGCAAGCAATAATATGTAGCCAGGGAGAATTTCAAGCTACAACTACACCCAGGTTGTCTGAATCAATAATTGCTCATGTCTTCAATGACAATAACAAAGTCCCGTTGCTAATTTTAGATTTCATGTTAGTATAATTACTATGCCAATATGATCTAAATATACCAACAAGATTGTTGGTATTTTTTGACTTTATGTTGATACAATTACTATACCAACATGAGGTATAAATGTACCAACAGATACTTGTTATTATCATTCATAACAATAGTAATTATGGGCATGGACTTCCTCAACTGCACCTCTAGATCGGGGTTGTAATAGGTTACAACAATTATCAACAGTGTTCTTTATGAGTACAATGTAAATTTAATGCTACAATAAGATGTAGATTATGCTTAAGTATGGAATTGGACTATCAATGACATCAAATAGGTCATATATGAAAACTTGAAATGTTGCTTAATATATACTTCTATCTCATTCCACATAAAAAGCTAAGCTTTTATGTTGTGAGGGTGGGGGTGGCTTAATGGAACTTCTAGATCATTAATTCATACTATTACTAGCATTATTTAAGTTAAATAGATAAACAATCGCTTTTAAGACATCAATAGATATAAACTAATTTCAATAAAAAACAATGATCCTAATCAATTATACTGATAACATATACAAGTATTTTTTTTAAGAAAAAAGCATATCTGAGTTGAGTTAATTGTCTCACAATGAATTACGAGTAGTAAAAAATAATAACCAACATTTAAGTGTTGTGAGCTGCTTCACGTTTTAATATTAGCGGATTTCAGAATATGATGAAACTTTATTATGATTGTGTATTGCTAGATTGTTCAGGTGATTTTCCTCGAATAAGATGTTTCAAAATTCACACCCACTTTTCTATTTGTATTTGGAAATAAGAAATGTAATATTCCATAACAATTACTCAATTAACATTCAAAATACAATAAAATCTCAAAATAATATCCAAATCTAACGGGCTTCATATTTAAGGGCACTTTTGCCAACTAGACACACATGGGGCCCACCCCTAAGGCGCTTAAAAATGCAATTACATACAGTTATATTTTTCCACTTAAGTCGGTCTACAAAATAATGTAAATTAGCTAGCTGTTGAAGCCATACATCCACAATCAACTATCCTTTATCCTATTTTAATTTCAAAAATAAAAATATACATAAAAGTTGAGACAATTTTTTTCTTAAATCTAAAAAATAAAATTGTGACGGAATAAAATAAAATTAACCTATCACCAGTATGGAGTAGTAAAATAAGAAAATTTACTATCTGTAAACGAATAGAGGTCTTTCTCTGATAAAATATTTAAGAGCAATTGTACCAAGAATAGAATCAGGCTTTTGGGAACAGGCAGATTTGATGTCGTTAATTTTCTTCTAAACACCAATCAATACGCGACGCTGTAACTATAATCTTGTTTAATGATACTTGTTTGAATAGTTTAATGTTTCTTCAAGAGAGTTGTAAGTTGCACTCTCTTGTCTTGGCAATGAATAATGAGGCTTAATTTAATAGCTTATCCGGTACTTTATCACTTTAAGAGCGTTAATACATAAATATCTTTCTAATACGTTACGGTCCTTAATTAGTGCAAGATATTAATTAAGCTGCTTTTGATATATAAATATCTTATGATGACATTGAGTATTAGTGCAAGATATTAAGCTCCTGATAGGGCAGATACATATATAGATCTTACTACACAAATTGAAGATAAAATCATGAATATATATTAGTTTAAGATAGGAAAGTAAGATTTAGATGTCTTGATGATCGATATATAGATCTTACTACACTAAGCTTTAGAAGTTCTTGATGATTGAGTTTAAAATGCCTTAGCCTTTAAACTAATTTTTAAACATAAATTTAAATTATAGATGTCAGCTATACTATAATTTCAAGTTGGATCGGCTCGGGTTTGGTCAACTTTATTCTATCCATCTTATTTGTTGTATGGTTTGAGTGGAGTCAATTTACAATGAGCTTTCCTGTCAAAAAAAAAAAAAAAAAAAAAAAAAAATTTACAACGAGCTTGGTCAATTTCATTTCAATTTAGTTTGGGTCATCATCATCTTGTTTTGGTACAATTCAAGTTTGGTCATACCAATTTTAATTTGAGCCGCTTTTTGATTTATGTCAAGATAGGTTTAGGTCGTTTTCAATTATGTTCATTAGATAGATCAAGTCAATTTAGATTGGGTCAAATTAAATTTGCGTTATGATTATAAGCGGTATTCAAATTTTTTTTTTTCTTGCCGACCAAGGTCGTTTAACTATTACAATCTCTAAAACTATATAATTTTAACAGTGTATTTTATAAACCTCTAATATAAGTTGAATGTAATTACTCGAGAACGAATAGATATATAATTTCGTTGTCGCAAATTAGATGGCCTTCATTTTCTCGTATATCATTTGTACTTCAACACTATGTATAAAAACTCTTTTGTAAAAGCAATATATTTAATACTCCCACTTAGTAGTATTTTATCTGAAAATAAACTTATTAATATATCCAAACATTTGAAAAGGACTAACAAGATGCTTGCTTACAATATACTACGTATGTTTTATATCAAATCAATAGCAAGTATTCTTAATTAATGTAATTAAGTATATGTCTTAATTAAAAAAACCGCCAAGTTGATAGGGTACAACCGTACAAGTAATTGAATTGTGAGATCCAGCTACTAATTGCATGCCTTAATGCAACGTCTTTTTGAATCGAACTTGTGGTGTGGAATGCTAATTAGCTAGCAAATTAAATAAGAGGTGATCATTTGCTTTTACTCTTAAACATCTTGTTTAACCTACATGCATGTTATAGTTAGTTTATGTCAACTTGAAACTTGCTAAGCTTAATTATATTGTGAGTCACTTTAGTACTTAATTAACCACTGAATTGGACATTTGGATCAATAATCGTAAGAAGCTTATCTTCTCTTTTCAAGTAATATAACTGATCCAATCAGAATGATTCGTTTCGAACCAATAACATCTTTATTAGGACTATTACTCTTATAAATTGTCACCTTACTTGACCTTCATTTAGTAAAACTAGGGCTTGCATATATTTAAAGGAAAATTATAAGGTGAGGACAAATTGAAATTAAATTTTATAAAACTATGCATGGTATATAGAGATTTATTTTGATGATAGTGAAAAAGAGAATTAATACTACTACTATTACTACTAATAATAATAAGTATTGCAAGTAAGGTTGATGGAAGTGTAAATAATAATGAGAGGCTTATGTGGATCGACAGAAATATCTTATAACATTGTAACAATGTAACACTTATAATATTTATATCACTCAGATAGGTATGGATGTTGAAAATGTACTCGCTGTGGTATTTTTAGATGGGTATGAATATGATGGCCGTATGGAGAAGGGCTTATTTGCACCCACACTGTACCGTCCATTTGTCATCCTTACAAACAACTTATAAAATGAAACCGATTTCACTTTCGTTTGACCCGTCAAATAATAACTGCGTGTTTGGCCCGGTTAGAATGTTTAATTATACTATAATACCTACTTAAAGCTCGATTAACGACACAAGTGTATAGCATAATCTTAACTAAATTTTCTCATTTGTACTCGTGTCGGCCAGCCTACTAAACAAGTGTAAAGTACACACTCTCAGGTCAAAATGTCAAATTACATACCAACTATTCCACTATTGATCTACCACTTAGCAAACCGTTAGTGAAGCAGTGTTCTTGACTTCTGGTAGATATGAGTGTAAATTATTATTATAAATAACTAAAAAAATAATTCATATACCTGTAAAAACACAATATTTATATTGTACGTAAGAAGGTCCTATTAGACCAAATTTTAATTTCTCACACATGAGTCTGACACGACTTGTCTCTATCTCATTCTTTTTTCCTAGGTACAACTTATATATGACCAGCTAGTATTAAAAGTACTTAATTAACATCATAGTATACAAAATACTTAATTTAAATATTAGTAAAAGGTAAAGAAAGCCAAGGATAAAGTACATATCCTTGCCAACAACAAACACATAGAATGCAAATAAGATACAGGTAGAGGATCCACAAAATCTATACTTTTGTAACTTTAGGCCACTATATATTCATCTTCCAACACAACCACAATTGCACATTATCCAACTCTATCCACTCCTCCCACAACAATAGTACTCCCTCTTTTCTTTAGCAAAATCCAAAAAATAAACATGTTTCCTTCAACCTCCTTTTCTTCTATTCCCCAAGAAATCATTACTAACCTTCATTATTCTAGAAGATTACTACTTCACTCCCCCTTTCACCCTTCACCACCTACTATAGAAGCATCAACACCAACCTACCAAGTCCTAGACCCGAATTCGAGCCATGGCAACCCCGGCTTTGATGCTAACATAGTCATGATCCTCGCGGTCTTGATAAGCGCATTAATATGTTCCTTCTGTATAAACGCCTTCATTAGGTTTGTGATCAAGTGCTCAAGCAGGATAACCGGCGAGCCTAATTACTACCTAAACATAATTAGCCATGATCAAAAGAAGAAAAGTTGTAACGGTTTGGATAAGAAGGCATTAAAGACATTTCCAGTGGTGAAATACTCAAAGGAGGTAAAAATTCAAGGGTTGGACACTGAGTGTGTGATATGTTTATCGGAGTTTAAGGGTGGTGAAAAAGTTAGGATATTACCAAAATGCCATCATGGTTTCCATGTTAATTGCATTGATAAGTGGCTTAGTTCTAACTCCTCTTGCCCTACTTGTAGGCAATCTTTAGTTGAAACTTGTCAAAAGATTATTGGTTGTGGTGATGATCATCAAACTACCTCATCATCATCATTGTCGTCGTCTTCGACGTCATCAACAACATCATCATCATCTAGGGAGATGATAGTCGTGAGTATCGTGCCACTTGAAAGGGAAGATTTGGTGCGAAATTACAGGAGTGAAGTTGCTCAAAGTTAACCAAATTCTAGGAATACCGAGTAATTTTGTAGGATTTTCATGATTTAAAGAGTAGGGAGATTTTAACAAAATTTTTAACTTGTTTAGTAATGCACATGATAGATATTTCGGAGCGAGTAATTATTAATACTAATTAGATATTCCATGCTTTGGCCATTTGATCTGTCTTCAATTTACGTAATTAAAATAATTGTCTATATTATTGGATTAATCCTTTTTCGAGAGCATGTTCGATGATTAACTAAGATGGACCACTTATTACTTGACTTGTCATATCCACATTTCTAGCTACACCTTTTTTCAAATATAATTAATATTCTCTGATCCATTGTTAAGCTAGTATATACTTGTATAACACATGAAACATAAATGACGCTACATATATATATATTGATACATATTGTATGTGAGTTCGTTGGATAACATTATTGAGAAAGAAAAAAACTAACGAATTGAAATAAGTCTAGTGAATTGCTCCACTTATTATTAGCAGATTATATTTATGATATATTGATGAGATTGTGTATTACTAGATCGATAAAGGGTTTTATAAGTTAAAATGTGCAAATTTGAAATATCTAACCTTTTATATTTAATTAACGGGCTTAAATTCAATTTTATTTTATTTTATTTTTATAAAAGTGCTTATTTAATATAAGGGCACTTTTGCCAACTAGGAAATACTCACATGGGGCCTACCCTATGGGTTTAAAACAATGCAATTACAAGTAATAATTTTCCACTTAAGTTGGTCTACTTAATCGTAGTGAATTGGCTAGCTGTCGAAGCCGTGCTGTAGTTTCAATCCTTTTATATCTCTTAGATTCTCAGTCCTCAAACAAATATCCACTTCATTTTTTTTAATAGAGTTTTTAATTTTTTTTAAAATATTTTGTTTATTTTAAAATAATAGAGAAGCACTAAAATTACGGCAAATTTCTCTTAAAATCTAAAATATATGTACTACTCCGTATTTATGAACGGATAAAGAATTTTTTTTTTGCCAAGTAATAGCGATAATTAATAATAATGGAGAGATAATCGAAAACTGTTCGAATTACATGGATCCGTACACCATTCATGACTCATGAGGAGCTGAATCTTCTATTGATATCTGACATTGGACCAAAACAAGCAAAATATAAATGATAAGATGATAAGTAAAATGTCACTTTTTACTACAGTTGAGTTCTAATACATGCCCAACGTGTTATTTACATATATCAATTTCATTCGACTTTTGTTAGTAATGCATTTTCATGTGATTAAAGAACAAAACTTTCTTGTACCCATTAATTTCCCCTCCATTCACAAGCTATTGCTATTTGCGATGGCAAATTCTTTGTGCTTTCACTGCCCTACAACTTTCTATTTCGACACTAATAGGCCATATTATGTTAATGTGTTACTCTTTAAAGTATGCATTTTTCTTTATACTACTACATAATTTTCTTTTTATGTAACATGTAAGGCGGCTACATATCTAGACGTCTAGACTCAAAATTACTTCTGGAGCATTTTTTAGGGAAACTTTGTGAGCAACTTCTTACTATGAAGTACTTTTTCGTATTTGTTCACTCTTATGAACAAATATCTCTAAAAGTGTTTTTTTTCTTTTTTTTTTTTTTTTTTTGTCAGTTTTGAAAAACCTACTTAATTATTTCATATCTTGATTCTAAAATTTTATACTACCTTTTTGGATCCCTCTTACTATACACAATAATGTTGTGGCCTGGATAAATTTAGGGATATGATCTTTCATTTCCGTTTAATTAATTAAATGCGTTAAATATGTCTTCTAGAAAACATTCCCGTACATTTTGAAGATGTACACTCCTTGATTAGGCAAACCCATAAGTTGTTTATTAAAATTTAAAGTTAATCGATCATTGTAGATGGTTGTTAATTTGTTATTGCAACAATAGTTAATAATTATTTCTTAGACACTACAGTAAGCCCCCACAAATATGATTAAACTAACATTTGAACAAACTTGATTTTGGTTAATAAGCATCTGAGATCCGCCCTACAAGTTCAAGGCATGCAGCAAATAAAACAATGTATAATTGCAATTGTACCAAGAAAAGAATCGTGCTTTTGAGAAACACCAATCAAAACTTTGTAATAATAATCTTGTATAATGATACTTGTTTGGATAGTTTAATGTTCGTTTCTCTTAAAAGGCTGTAACTTGCATTATTATCTTAATATCTTGGCTAATCTTAATCATTTAACTAATCAAAATAACAAATGAAGCTTATCCAGTACTCCGTACTTATATCACTTTAATTAAGAGAATAAGAGGGTTAATATATAGTTATCTTTTGATACGGAGTATTGGTGCAAGATATTAAGCTGCTCTATATCTTGTTGTACGAAGTATATAAGTGCAAGATATTAAACTTTACAGTAAGGGAAACAGTGGACAAAATGAAAAGAGCACTGTACTTTTTTTTGTTACCACTATAAGAAAATTCTAGGCTTTAAAAGCTCTTATTGTTACAAACACTTTTAGTATAATAATGTTGCTTATAACTTTTACTAAGTTGATTAAGGTATAGTTTGTTGATATAATGCTCATCATTTTTGTATTAGCTGTACTTTAGGGGGCATGAATGTTTTATCCATATTTTTAATGGGTATACTTAAATTAGAGGTGGCAAATGGGCTATTTGATTTGATTTTGGTCGGGTTCATTATGATCGGTTTGTATCTACCGATGAGGAGGCTTTCGAGTACAGGTTATATTCAGGTTAGAATTGAAGACTTTTTGTTTGGGTACGGGAAGGGTTGGACCAATAATTTTGAGCCTATGGAATTTAACTTAATACATACCTTCTAAAAATAAACACCCCCAATTAGTACTTTCTAAGAATAAATAAACTTGCTAAAAAATCCAAACACTTGAAAAGGACTAACAAGGTGCTTGCTTACAATATACTACGTATGGTTTAGATTAACAATAGCAAGTATTCTTAATTAATGTAATTGTAATTGAGTATCCTAAAAATAAAATTAAAAGAAATTGTGAGATCCAGCTACTAATTGCATGGCTTAATGCAATTACTCCGTAACTATTTTAACGTACTATAAAAACGTCTTTTGGATTGGACATGTGGTGTAGGATGCAAGCAAATACGAGGTGATCTTTTGCCTTTATACTCTTAAGCACCTTGTCGTATAACCAAACATCTTATAGTTTAATTTTTTGTCAACTTGAAATTTGCAAGTCTTGTCACTCATCTTAATAACCACTAACTGCGCGCAAGAAGCTTATCCTTACTCTTTATTTTTTTTGCTCATAGGCTGCTTGTGACAAAACTGATCCAACCAAAATGACTCGATTCAAACCATATAAAATGAAGTCGAATTATATAAATAATATGAACTCGAATTATATAAAATTAAAAATAAAAACCAAATATATTAATATAAATACAGTATAATATTGTTTTATATTCACCGACTTTTCAATTATATGAACGAAAATATATGGAGCGTGTACTTGTTATGGGGTATCATGAAGATATACTGGGGGTGTTTGGCAATTGGCTTTTTGCCTAACTTTTGGCTTTTGGCTTTTTAGTTTGGTCAAACAGCCAAAAAAGATGTTTGGTAGTTGGCTTTTTTTGTTGGCTTTTAAGCTGACTTTTCCACCAAAAGCCAAAAGCTAATAGGAGTAGCTTTTTCTATTGGTTTTTGGCTTGTTGGCCCACTTCATCACTAATAAACAACTAACAACCATTAATAATTTTACCAAACACTTTCGTAAACAGTCGGCTTAAACAACTAATTTAAATAGTCAATCCATACAGCTAATACTTTCAACTAGTCAAACAAGCCAACAACCAACAGCCACCAACTAACCTCTGATTGCCAAACAACCCCACTATGAACCATCAATATTCACAATAGTATAATACATGACACAAGTCACACAACACATGGACAACCATGAACTATACTCACCCAACCAACTCATAAAAATCAAACCCATTTCATTCTTTCGGTTGACCCGTCAAATTTTAACTCCGTAATTGGGCCCAGTTTGATTATAATACCCACTTAATCTTTATTTTTTGAGGAGCAGTTCCCACTTAATCTTAATTAACACACAAGTGTGCAGCATAAATAATCTTAACCAAATTGCACTTTTTCTACACTTGTCAGTCTACTAATCAAGGATCTTAATCTAAAATATTACAGAGTAGAATTATGCTCTTCTTTTTTTTGTTTGACAAGTGTAGAGACTGAAGAGTGAGAAATGTAAAAAAGAAAAACAAACATGTTTACAAGTGTAAAGTTCACATTTTAAATTTAAATTAAAAACAGATCTAACTGTTATTATTAGTGAAGAAAGTAGTGCTCTAGTAGGCTAGTAGCTACGGAACGAGGTATTAGAGGACTTTTTTAATTTTTGAAATATCTGCAGAAAGCAAAAATCATATACAAGTACAATGGTTGTCATAATCGAGTAAGGTTTGGTTACTTAATTGGGCATTTTTATTTGTAGAACGGGGTATCTAGAGAAAGACAATTTATTTACTACGAGCTGAGTACATATTTTTGAAATATCTGCATAAGTGCATAATATGTATAATGGGTATCATCAAGCAAGACTTGGTATAGTTAATTCGCGATTTGCCTTGTAATTTTGAGGTCACAAGGTTGATTTCTCCCAACCCTCTATGCTTGAGGGTGATGATTCCTTACCCATCCACCTCATTTCCAATTGTTCAATTCGTAAAAGTTGGACAAAAAAAAAAAGTGAGCATTAAGGCTTGATTAGGGTCTTTCTCCTTACCTTTAAAAAACTACATTGCATGTTACATGTACAACATGATTAGACAATCAGTAACTTTGTAAGCGCATGGTTTTTATTAGTTTAACTACACCATTTATTGTTGTATGAAACACATTTTGCTATACAAATTTTAATAGGCTATTACTCTCATTTAGGGTAATAGTTATCCTACCTAGGATGAGAGTGGGTTAACATTAATTATCCTCATATGAGGGTTCGTAAAACTTCCTCCACCTCTAATCACTATTGAGGTATATATTTTTTCTACTTTGACTTGTATTACTTCGTCCCTTAATACATTACTCCACTTTAAGTATGGCCTAACAATCTACAGAGTATCATCCATTTGAAAAACTAAACTTCCTACTTAAAAAGCATACAAGTGTATACGACCAGCTAATATACAAACATCTAATAAGCATCAAAATTTTATACAAAGTACTTAATTAAATAATAAGGCCAGGTAAATTATACCAAGGAAACACACATCCTTGCTGTTTACATATCCTAGCCAACAACAAACATATACAAGTAGATTACAAATAAGATATATATATTCATATACAAGTATATAGGATCTACAAAATCTATACTTTTTGTAACTTTAGCCCACTATATATTCATCTTCCAACACAACCACAATTCCACATCCAACTCTATCCACTCCTCCCACAACAACAATAATACATACTCTCTCTTTTCTCTTACAAGCCAAAAACATGTTTCCTTCAACTTCCTTTTCTTCTATTCCCCAAGAAATCATCACCAACCTTCACTATTCTAGAAGATTACTACTTCACTCCCCCTTCCACCCTTCACCACCTACTACACAAGCACCTACTCCAACCTACCAAGTCCTAGACCCGGATTCGGGCCATGGCAACTCCGGCCTTGATGCTAACATAGTCATGATCCTCGCGGTATTGGTATGTGCTTTAATATGCTCTTTATGCATAAACACCTTCATAAGGTGTGTGATCAAGTGCTCAAGTATGATTACCGGCGAGCCTAATTACTATCTAAACATAATTAGTCATGATCAAAAGAAGAAAAGTTGTAACGGTTTGAATAAGAAGGCATTAAAGACATTTCCAGTGGTGAAATACTCAAAGGAGGTAAAAATTCAAGGGTTGGACACTGAGTGTGTGATATGTTTATCGGAGTTTAAGGGTGGTGAAAAAGTTAGGATATTACCAAAATGCCATCATGGTTTCCATGTTAAGTGCATTGATAAATGGCTTGGTTCTAACTCCTCTTGCCCTACTTGTAGGCAATCTTTAGTTGAAACTTGTCAAAAGATTATTGGTTGTGGTGATGATCATCAAACTACCTCATCGTCGGAATCATCATCGTTGTCGACTACAACAACAACAACAACAGCAACAACATCATCAACTAGTGACATGGTTGTAGTGAGTATTGTGCCACTTGAAAGGGAGGATTTGGTGAGAGATTACAGGAGTGAAGTTGCTCAAAGTTAACCAAATTCTAGAACGGAGTAGTAGTTTTGTAGGTTTTTCATCAATTTTCAGAGTGAATTTTTTGGGAAATTTTCAATTTCATGTTTACTCTGTATTGTTGTACAAATGATAGATATTAGTCTTTGATTGTTCATCTTGCAAGTGTATAAACGTAACTGAGGAGCAATTAATCAACAAATTCCTTGTTTAGCCATTTGTTTTGTCCTCAATAATTGTTTAAATTATTGGACTCATTCTTTTTGTCAAAGTTTCTTTCAAAAGTTCTATAGCATAACATTATTGATTGTCAGCAGGGTACTTGATAATAAAGTATGTTAAAGACTACAATAAGATCTAGACTCATACTAAAATAAGGGGATTATGGAATTTTAGTATCAAAGTGGTCTTATTTGAAAATTTGGATGGTTGCTTAATGTTTCTCATCCCCCCTAGAAGGTGGGGATATCTAAGATGTACTTTTACGATCACTTTATAAACATCTATACACATATATGAATTTTATTTCATTTGAAATACACATATCTTAATCATGCAAAATTGACTGGTGAAAAGATTATTACTTTATAATAGACACTATCTTAATACACAAATAAATCAAACTCAAATAACTCTACGTCTAGTAGTAGTTAAAACAACTCCCATTGAGAAAATTTTATTTACCATTTGTCACAAATATCTCCCCAAATTTTGTAAAGACAGTCAAATCTATTGGTCATATTTACATGAAAAATCAAACTTATGCCTAAAATTACCAAACTTCCAACAACAAAAAAAAAAAAAAAAAAAAAAAAAAAAAAAAATTAAAAAACCATTTATGGGTACTTTTCCACCTAGGATGGTTCACATGGGTCCCATCCCATGGGCTAAAAACAATGCATTTACAAGTAGCACTTTTCCACTTAAGTTGGTCTGTAAAATTAGCTAGTTGTCAAAGCCATACTACATTTTCAATCATTTTCTTGTATGATTCTCAAATCCTTAATCAATTGTCCACTTCTATATTTAGTTTAGTACTAATACATTGTTTTTTGCATAAATCAATGTCATTCTACTTTGTTATTGATTGGTCTCTACCTTGTTTAGTGCCCTTAATCATGCATTTGTGCTTCCTAAAAGAAGGATTAAAGAATAAAACTCTCTTTTGTCCATTCATTTCTCCCCATTCACAAGCTATTGCTATTTGCGATGGCATATTCCACTGCCCTACAACTTTCTATTTGAACAGTAATAGTCCAAATTAAGTTAATATGTTACTCTTCAAAGTATGCTTTTTTCATATTTTATGCTACAGTATAGTATAAAAAATATACTAGTATGACAAAAATATACTTCCTATTTCATTAACTTGTAATTTCTTATATCAGATCTGTGTAAGATGATTACCTAGAAACTTTTAAATTGTGTAACAAATACAAGTATATATGGTTAGCTGCTAGTTGTTTGTTATTGATTTGGTTAAAATTATTGATATCATAATTCATAACTGAAGTATACATTTAAATTATTTAATCATCAAAGAAAAGTTTCTCTTAGTTTTTGACAAGAAATTAAAGTTGCCTTTTTGCCAAAATAAAACAAAAGGTTTTGCTTTATTATTTTGGCAAAATTGTCCGCAATATTTTGAAGTATGGTTTAGGTGCAATGAGCACCCTTAACTTTGCGTAGTAGCCAAAACACCACCAAATATAGTGTTAGGTGCAATGCGTGCCATAAATGAAAATTTCCGGCAACTTATTTCACTAGGAGGAGGTGAATCTTCACTCTCTAGAATAGTTATGTAGTCTTCCATCCACTTAGCACGCATGGATTCACCTCCTTCGATGAAATAAGTGGCCGGAAATTTTCATTTAAGGCACACGTCGCACCTAACACCATAGTTGGTGGTGTTTTGGCTACTACGCATAGGTCAGGGTGCTCAGTGTACCTGAGCCATACTTCAGGATATTGCGGGTCAATTTTGCCTATTAATTTCTTATAAATCTATCAAAAAATTATAATATTTTCATCGGTCGAGTTTTACCAATCTAGGTATTTATTGGCTACTAAAAGCGAGTGATACCTCCATATTGTAAACTTCTAATTTCTTATTACCAATATGTGAGATGACTCAACTTGAAACTTTAGATTGTGTATCAAATATAATTGTTAGCTGCTAGTTGTTTGCTATTGATTTGCTTAGAATTATTGGTAACATAGTATCTGAAGTACTTTTTATCAAAGATAATTTTCACTTAGTTATTGAAAGGGAAGTAAAGTTACCCTTTTTCTAAAAGAACAAAAAGTGCCACTAAATATTTATTTTTAATTAGGTGATAAAATAATAATCTTGTCACCAATTAAGTTTTGCAAGTTTAGATAGTTATATTGGCTACTAAAATTGGATGATGCCCCCATATCCTATTGGCATGGTACGTACATCTCTTATAGAGCTTAACAAAGCTAAGGTGTACTTGAATTAACCCATACCAAACTCTAAACAGTTACTTTTAGAGATTTTTAGTTTCCTTCTACCCCACTCCCTTCTTAAAAATAAACGTACGTTAGAAGCTGCAAACAATTGTTGCTCATACTCAGACACTTAATGTAATTTGTTTTTGTTTGTTTTTTTTTTCTTTTTTTTTTTTTTAAAAAAAAAAAAACGGATTTGATCCCTTTATTTTCTTTTTAATATACCCATTTAGTGTACACTCCTACTTCTAATAAAGTTTATAGTAGGTGAAAATATGGTTAAAATAAGATTGTAAAATGTGTTTGGCAAAGATAAGATAAATTAGGAGTCATCACATCAAATGATACACCACCTTACAATATAAAAGACGAGACGGAGGGAGTATGTCACTCGATAGTTACAAGACTAAACAGTAAGCCAACAAAAAGGAGTATGAGTAAATAGCTGGCGAGAAAAATCCCTATTTGATGGTGGCTGAGGTACTTTTTGAAGATAACATTTAGTAGTAAATCCTACTGTCTTTGATAAGGACAAACCTAGATGTTGCTTTAAAGTTACAATTAAATAATTTATTAATGGTTATTTTAGTAAGTAATTGCAACATTAGTCAATAAATTAATCATAACAAGTTTTCTTAGATATGTGCTACTAAGCACCCACAAATTAAAGACGATTAAACAAAGTTAACCAGTGTTAAAAAGCATATATATCCATGCTACTTGAAGGCAGAAAATGAAACAAAAATTAAAAACAAATCTTGTACCAAGAAAAGAATCGTGCTTTGGGAAACAGTTTGATATGATGTCTATATTATTCTTCCAAGCACCAAGCAAAACTTTGCAACTATCTTGTACATTTTAATGTTAATTTAAGAGGGTTGTAAATTTCACTCCTAATTGGCTAGTCTTAATCATTTAACTAATTAAGTTGATCGACAAATGAAGCTAATCCTCACTTTTAATTACTCCTAGGCACGCCTTTTGTTTTCAAAAATATCTTGTGATATGATAGGGGATATAGATCTAATCACGTAGGTTAAACATAACAACAAGATTAATACTTCCTCCGTTTTTCTTTTATTGCGTCATAAAGACTTTTACACTACTTTCATAACCTTGTTTGACCATTTTTTGTGATTTATCAGTAATGACAAATATGGTCATGTAGGATCTAGTTAGATTCGTCTCCAAATCTACTTTTCAAATATCAACTTTTAATAATTTGTACAAAAGTGTAATTAAAGATATTAATATCCAAAGTAATGCAGTGACAAGCATGAAACCCTTCATGGTGCAAAAAAAAAAAAAAAAAAAACACGGAGGAAGTAAGTCATGTATATAGATGAATACGTAGATCAATTAGTTTAATAAAATATCAACTTTTTGAAGGGAACGAACATCGCGCTTTAAAAGTTATTAATCATAGAGTACATGTTAAATGCCTTTTAATCACGAAATTTATGAAATCCAATAAACAATAAGAACTAGCAATTTCAAACTAATCTTAAGGCCAATTTAGAAATTTCAAAAGGAAATCAGGAAACATCGAAAATAAAATGGAAAAATTACGAGGACATGACATGGAATAATCTTTTTATTTATTTATAAAAGTAACAAGAAATATATAAAGTGCTAGTAAGAAACATCCCCACTTAGTAGTACTTTTATTGATGAAATTTATAACATATCCAAGACTTTGAAAATGACTAGTTAGCAAGATGTTTGATTACACAAATCATTCCCCCAATGGTTAGCACTAATTAATAACAATATTTGATTTGTATCAACATTAGCAAGTTTCCTTAATTAATTCATGTATATAATTACTTGTGAACCCTAATGTAAGCATCCACAATGGAGCAACCAATCTAATTGAATATAAGTAATGTGAGATCCAGCAAATTACATGGTTAATGCAACAATTTTAACGTACAAAATTGTACATCTTATCTCTATGAATTGAGTTTGTGGTCCGTAGGAAACAAGCAGATACGAGGTGATATGATCTTTTTCTCACTAAACACCATGTAAAACCTAATATGTTGTACTGTTATAATTTATGCCAACTTGAGACTTGCAAGGATTGTGACTTATCTGAACCATTTGATTAGAACAATGATTGCAAGAAGCTTATCTTCACTTTTATGCTTATTGGTTACATGTTGTATAGGATGACATAGATCTACGTATTTCACTAATCACTAAATACGTGTTAGCTACTTGATCTACGTATTTCACTAATCACTAAATACGTGTTAGCTACTTTTATAAGAGAAATTTTAATTTATGTTGATCTTGAGAAATGCAGAGATAAAGATTAGGCTACGTTAATGACCAAGAGATTTATTTATACTACACTCAAAACGAAAATTAAATAGGGTCAAAAATTGGTCTAAATAAAAAATTATAACCCAAACACAATCCAACTTTAATGACCTAGTTTAGACCAAATTGTATCAAAAAATGGAGAAATAATGATAATGCAACTACATTAATTTGTTCGAATGCTAAACTAATCAACAATAAGCCCCAAAATTGATGAAATTCGAATTGAACATGGATCAGATACTCAAATCACTGAATATACTCAATATGAATGATCCGATCCGTTTATCATTTTTACTACTAGAGTTTTAAGTTTCTCTAGATAACTAAAAGATGCTAAAATTCACAAAATAGTAGAATATTAATAAAATTACGTGCATGTCAATTAGTGTTTGATTATACTTTGTATTTCCACTTTATTGCATGCAATATTGCAATGCCATATCATTTTTCCTTCACT